ATTTATTATAAGCACAATATGTAAGGACCTTCGTCAAACGATTTATGTCCATTTCTGTCAATGTAGATTTAATCTTGGTTTAAATCTAACTCTTACCTTTTATCTCTTTCTAATTCTTAGAACTAAAAAAAGATAAAAGGTAAGTTAAACCAAGATTAAAATCAATCTACATTGGTTAGAAAAGGGCATCAGTCTCGTTGAAACGGAATCCTCCTTACCTTATCATCGACGTTTTCATGGTGTTGCTGTTCTCTTCAGCGACCACCGCGATATTGTACCCGTTGTCACGTCACTATTTCGCGAATTATTGTCTTTCTCAGTTCATCACTCGGCCCTCCGCATCCATCGTATCAGAGAGGCTCGCGAGTCAAGCCGCGTCTCTTAGCCGATCATCGTCGTCGGTCTTGTCGCCGCGGGAAGCTCGGCGAGACTGGCTCGCGCACGTCCCGGCCTCGCGGCTCTATGCTATTACCTAACTCGACCGAGTCCGGGAGCCGAATCCGCCGAGGCGAGATGGACATCCTCCTTTGTTCGTTCAACCCCCCGTGATTAATACCGATCTGCGCAATCTGCATCCGGGGGGAAAACCGTTTTGGCATACCTTTCGCGATGATAAAAGGTATTTTCCTCGTCTCTTTGCCCCTTCGCACGCCTTTCGCGTTTCGTTGCCTTCATCACACCCGGATCGGACGTGATTTACGCACGATTACCGGTGAATAAGCCCCAATTCGTCATTCGTCAAGACTTCCTCGCAACGCGTGAATCGACGGAACGTAAATGGCACTTTGAACATTTTATTTTATGAAAATTTTCACTCATGTTCGCCCGCTTTTAGGTCAACGGTACGACGTTTGTATTTTTTGGAAGAAGGTAAAAGTTGGCTCGTTATATTTGCGACGATCGCTGGATTTTTACGATGTAATATTCGGTATATGTACGGAGGTGTGCATTCATTCCTGCAACGCGACTCGCTTCTCTGTAGCTGCGAGGGAGGAGACAAATCAGTATTCCAATATGCGTGGGATTTCTGAGGTGTCTGAAACGCAGTTCCAGTGAGATCATCCGCGATTTGATTTCATTTGTCGAACGGGACTTTGAGGTAAACTGCATCTCTCTCGATGCAGTTGCATAGAGAGTACCTGATCTTATGGATTACATTATTTAAATTGTATAAAAACTTTAAGTCTGACGAACGTTTTAGGGAAACCGTTGAGAAAACCGCGAATATCCACGATAAAGAAAAACCGGTTTTAACGAATTTATGCCTTTTTGCGCAATGTCGTGATTACTTTGCCGCTTCAAGGTTTTTCCAAAAAATGTCGCTGTTTCGACACTTCCACGCAACATCTCTGTTACACGCGGAGGACTTTCATCGTCACTCGGACCTCCCGAAACGCCGTCGCCGATCAACGGCGATCGTCACGGCCTGCGACCGGTGCGTGGGTTTCTTTATGAACTGTTGCATAATTTGGTGCCGGACCTGGAGCCGAACCCAGTAACGGGAAACGCATAACCGTCACCGACATTCATTCAATCCCGATACGAAGAGGCGAGCGCGAGTGGATCATTGCCACCTTTCTCATGAAACTGTCACTGTTACGTCATTATCTTAAATTACCGCGGCCTTGAGAAATTACGAGATCGTCCCAAATTGAGTTTAATCGCATTCTGTCGAGACGTATAAGGACTTTCGGCATTTTTCAGTAAATATTTTACGGTAAACCTCCATATAAGGTGCGAGATGGGATCCACGTTACATCGCATTGTACGAGACTCGTCAGAAGCCGTACAAAATGTGGAGATATTTCCTTATTATTGAAACAATTTAATGTTATAATAAGAAATTATTTTCATCTCATCTCAAAACGAAAAAAACTTACAACTTTTATTGAATTTATAATGAACAAATTCTTTGTATTAACATGGAATGATTATAAAGCTCTAAAAATTATAAATTTGGTCAAGTTATCAACAAAATAAAAACCCAAAAGTTACAAATAATCTTATCATAAAAATTCAAAATAGCTGCCATTGCCATGTAGTGATATTTATAACAATCGCGCAAAATTGTCACAGCTTAAAAAGCACAATGTAGAGTAATTTATTGCATAATAGGGTTGCAGATATTACAGGAAATGATATACGGAGATCTACCGTATATAAAATAATATCCGATAGGAAAAAGAAAGAAAGAAAGAAAGAGAAGCATTCAAATGGCATGTTAAATAATTATAAATAATAATATAATTCTAGAAAAAAAATTTGATTATAAAAATCTATTTGTTTAATTGAATTTAAATCAAGGGTAATCCGTTTTATATTTTTTCTTCTTAAAGAACGCTTTTCTTGTTTCTTTTTTCTTTGTGCAACGCTTTATTTGTTAAACAGGACCGTGCGGAAATGAAGAGTAATTTTAATAAAATCTACGCTAAACGATCGCGTCGTTCGCTCGGATAATCTCAAATGCCTTGGGATTACGGTTTCTTCTTTCACGCATCATCTCCTCGCCTCTTCTTGCATAACTTCGGTTTCGAGGAAACGTGCAATGCCCTTTGCCTATAACGGTAATCCTATACAAACTAGAAAATCTTCGAAAGGGCGCACCTATGCCTCTCCAAGTGATCTCCTGAGCTAACTATGAATAACAAAGGCGGCTAGTTCGTACATCTCCGTCAAGCTGTCGTAGACTGCTTCTTTCTCCGTTGGAAAATTGAAGAAGATAAAGTTAAAACTTTAACTTCGTAATCTTTAAACAGTAACCATTTACAGCAATTTATAATAACACGTTGAAAATATCATTCTTAAATTTTTATAAATAATTTGTTTGTCTTCAGGTTCGAGATCAACGATTCTTATACTTCGGTGAAAAAAAAAACTTCAGTATTGAAAGGACTGAAATTTTAGATGTCATTCAGGAATCAATATAACGCTATACAAACGTAGCATGATGTATCTTCCTTAGAACAGCTTCCTGTAACGGATTTAGTATCGTTTGCCGCTCAATTTTGACATGCACGGCTTTGTGAGGCAATCATGGAAGGAAACAGTGAGAGGTCCAGTGACCCTCCTCCTTCCTAGGGAGCGACGCATCGCTCTGACTCACCTTTCCACGAAAGGTTTCGTCGCTTTTGGTAAAGATGCTCGTTTTCCGCGTAAATACAGATTTCATCTCGGATTAAACGGTTCCTCGATATGAAACTTGTGCCGTTATTACGACTAGAATACAGAGTGGAAAAGTTGCTCTGTTGTACTATCGTACATAGCTTTCACATTTAATGCACCGTGGCAAAAAGCGCATCGTGTCGACCATTAATATTTAAAGCGTGCAAATTTCGGTAAGGGACGACTCATTTATCGCCGTAAATAGCGATAAGCGAATCGTGCGTCTTACAATATGTGTGGAATGGGTTTAACTTCGTTGAGGCCTTGCAATTAAGCCAGTACGAAGTTGCCAAGTCGATTATTCCGATGTCGCGAGGGACATCCTTTGCATACATTAACAGGACGGTTTGTAGAGCACTTGCGATGCTTTCTATGGCACTTTTTCTTACGCGCTATCGTCGTGACTGTGGACTTTCCTTCTGGCGTCGAGGAAAGAGAGAGTGAGACGTAGACTCGAGAAATCAGGAGGGAATAAGGCGCGATAAATGATAATTGAACGACGAACAATATTTGGAGCCAATCGTATTACGTAAGTTTTGCAACTTGAAAAGTTTGCATCTTGTCAAGTTGAGTAATTCGCGACGTTTCTCTGACTATATTTACAGTTTCAGAGTCCCTCGTACCGGAAATCTTCCGCGTCGAAAAGTACAAGCAGGGAAAAACTGGTAGCTCGCCACCGGAATCGCATTTATACGGCTGGAAATTTCATCATCAGTATTGCTCACGGACGAATCATCGCCGCCTGGTAGAGGAGAAATTTTACGTCTTGTCGCAAAGCCCGTGGAAATAGAAATTATTTCTTCGAGCATCCGCGAATGCATTCTTCTGTAACATCCGTGACATAATTTCCATCGTCATTATCGCGATATGATAATCCGCCCCGAGGCGTGACGGACGTATCGCCAAGGGTACGCACGCGATCGAACCGCGATGAAGAAAATTGATTGTGCGAGTCCACGGCATTACCCTCGGTATTAGCGAGGTAATGAGATAAATTTCTCGGTTAGTTGAAGACGCCGACACAACGATGGTTCTCATTTTCTTCTTACTTCCCTGATATTTGACTCTCGAGAAATTTTTCAATTTTTCAATTTTAAAACTTTGTCATCAGTTATTAAAATTCGCATTCTTTTCTCTAATGTAAAATGCATACGTTTCTGCTTATTAATATACTTAACTGGTATAAATGATAAATAATTTTGTTTCAAGTAGAACCGCCGATTAGAAGGTTGTCGACTACCGTGGAAAACGATTTCCTCGATTCGCGCGCGTGATGGAATCGATTTTCACTTTCATGCTCGGACCAGATCCTCCGCGGGAGGCGGCTGGTTGCTGCTGTGTTGCTGCTGCTGCTGCTGAGAGGAACGCCAGGAGAGGCGAGAGAAAGTCGTCCGGCGCCCGGATACTTTTCGCACGCGCCACGACCACGTTGCAGGTCTTGCGACGATTACGCAAACCGCGCACCGCGCGTAATCGGCACGTGGATGATCGATGGTCTGCGGTCCACGCGTTTCTTCCCCTCCCGTCCGCGGAGGACTTCGACGAGCTGGAAACCTCGACGATTGGTTTCCGCTATTGACTTGTTAGCACGTCGAAAGTTGGGAATGATTGGCTTTCGGTAGACACGCGTCAACATTTTCCGCGATGAAAGTTCTGCAGATCTCTTAATGTCCGATTCTTCCGAGAGAATTTTATCCGAACGATGTCGTTATTCAGTTCAGAATCATTTGTATACGTCGGCCGATTCACAAATGTATACGACATATGCATAAATAGATCGATATTCCGTCAGCTGCGCCTTATTCGGCAATTTATTTGACGGAGTTGCTGCAGGCACAATGAGAAATCCGATCTGTATAAACGACAATACGTAAATCCAATCACGTATAAGTACCTCATTTCGAGAGAGTTGTGCAAGTTGGGGGAAACGACGAACGCCTAATTCGTTCGTGGTGCCCTTGTCCTCTTTCGAGAACGTATCTTGCGCCATGAAGAACGAACACCTGATTCGCATAGACGATCGCAGAATTAAACATGATTGCTGTACGACATCGCAATACAAGATTACATTACAAAGATGATGACGCTATTAAATAGAATAATCATTATCATAATCATTTTTAAATCTGTTATAATAGTATAATCGTATTACAATCATTTATAATGCGATTGAGACAATTTATTATTTTTCTGTTTAATGTCTATGTTCTTCAGCGCGCAATAACGGTATTAATTGTTGCAGAATATGCATCGATCAGAGCGCGGAGCAGGAGCGTCAGCTCAGGTCGCTGCAGCTGGAGATGGAGACGCTGCAGCGGCAGTTCGAGGCCGCGTCGGTGGACCGCGAGAACGCGATTCAGGAGAACCGGAAGCTGCAGGACGACCTGGCGGCGGCGACCTGCGAGGTGCGAAACATGCAGCGCGAGCTGGAGACCTCGCGCGCCGAGTGCTACGACCTGAAGAGGCAGCTGCAGACTTATGTTAGCGAGGTCCGTCGCGCTGAGGAACTCCTAAATCGGAAGGTAGCGATCCGGAAAGCGATTTTATCAATAACGTTCATCAACGAAGCTGTTTCGCTTATTTTTCCTTGATCCTACCAGGAGAACGAGAGAACGGAGATGCTGAACCATTTCCGAAGTCTCAGCTTGGAGGCGACGGTTCTGGAAAACAATAATCATAGCTTGGAGTCTGAGGCGGCGGAAGCTAGAGGCGCCCTTCAAACCGCGAGACATCAGATACTCGACCTGGAGCGTCAATTGGCGGACAGGGACTGTCTAATAAAGGGTTATGAGACTCAGGTATTTCGCTCTCTTCGTAACAGATTCGAAGAAACGTGAAGAATCATTGATACTTTCACTCATCACCTTACGACATCTCGTGTTGCGATGCTCAGCTGAAAATGATCCAACTTAAATCAGAACCAACAAGGGATCTGATAAATTTTTAGACTTATTCATCACGTTATTTTCATGTATGTATAATTTAACGATTTCTCCAGATAAGCAATCTGACGCAAAGCGTCGCTAGCATGGAGACGCAACTACGGCAACAGATCGAACAGAGAAACCGAGCCGAAGCCGATTTAATGGCGGTCAGGGACCTGTGCGTGAAGCTGGACCAACAAAAGGATACGCTTGTGGAACAACTCGGTGACAAGGACACCGTGAAAGCGCATGTAAATTTACTTACTCTTTATTCTAGCCGTTTCTCCCGTTTGCACGTCACCCCGGTTTCTCCACCGCTTTGCTTTTTCTCGTGCAGTACGAGGCGCAATTATCAAGACTGAAAGCCGAGCAAAGCATTGTTCAGGATCAAATTGCTAGAGATCGCGTGACCGTGGAACGACTGGAGACCCTTCTGGACCAAGCGAGGCAGGAATCCATTAACGCGCAGGCTACCAATCAAGAGCTGCAAAATGAGATCTCTAGATTAAAACAGAAAGTCTCCGAGCTTCAAAGTAAACTGTACGTCCCACATTGTCGTCCTTATTAGTTTTATATTATATATCTTGCGCGTTTACATTTTCTTATGATTACAGTTCGTCGGAATCCGCGGAACTTCGACAGTATCAGAATCAAGCGGCGGAATACAGCAAGCAGATCAGCGAGCTCCGTAGACAAGTCACCAACGAGAGGTTTGACCGTGCTAGAAAGGATGAAGAGAGTCGCAGGTATTTTATCATAATTGTTAAAAATGTTGATCTTTTCACTGTCGAGTCTCTCGTTTGTACTCTCTCGCGCATTGTCGCGTACTGTCCCATCGTAATCGTTTCTCAATTTAGAACTTCTGAAGAATCCGTGATTCCCCTCCAACAAAATCGCACGACCCTTCCTCAGTCGGATATTAGAACCTCCAATGGCGAATGTGTCGCCTCTACGTCCAGGTCCAGGTAGAGTCGGGGTGATTGTGATCGCGCTTGAAAGTAGATTGTAACTTATTAACGAGTCAATTACAAATCCGCCAGGCAAGTAGATTGGCTGAGAAAACCATACACCGCGATTCCCAAACACACATGCGTACGCGATTCCGGCCAAGTGGGATTAACGAGTCACGACGATCGACCCACGTCGTTTTCACTCGAGTGTCGGTGTTCCTCCTTTAAAAAGCGTATTTCCTCCGCCAATTTTGTGTCATGCCCCAGCACGTTTCTCTCGCAACGCAAGTCTACCGACGACACAGATAAGACATCGAATTCTCCTTAACGGGGAAAAGTATCGTAAACATTTAATTTAATAATGCTCTAAGAGCGCTCTCGAGGCTTTTGTAAGGACCTTTGCATTTAGAGATAACTTTTGTGCCATATACATATGCATTTGTAGGAAATATATGAATTTTATTATTTACAACGATTGCTTTTTTGATGCGAGGTAATATTTACGTTATTGATAATATATTCTGATGAATTTCTCGACGCGAGAAAATGAAATAAATTGTATGTGTTTCGCGACTGACGCTTATCTTATCTGTTTATTTTTGCAGGTCGCTAAATTCATCTCCAGACAGTTTCAATGTAGATCTAAACGTAGTGATATAATATACTTGTGTTTGCACGCGCACGCGATGTCTGTTGATCTACTTATAAATATTTCCAACGGAACGGGGAATAAGGATAACAATGATAGAGCAGAGCCCCTGCAAAGCACGCAAATTGATTTAATATGTCAAGCCTCGGCAGTATGACTTAGATTATAAATATTTTCTAATGATGTAAATATGTGTGTATAATTGCAATATATATATTTTAATATTGTCCATCTAAAATAGACAAAATATGAAATTAATAAATAATGCTGCCAAGAGAACAAGACTTTCGAGAAATGAAAAATTGACAATTTTTGTGATATAATCAATATCGTTTATACATATATATGAAAATTTATCTAATTACCAAATATCTCGAATTAAGTATATATATAAGACAATCAAATTGTACAAATTATACTTAGTTTAATTTCCTTTTAATTGAATTTCTATCACCAAGAATTAATCGAGAATAATTTAAAAACTCAGGGCTTATATTAAAGAAAAAAATGTAAACATATCGAATATATACATATATATAATAGAAAATTGAGGAGAAAAAAAGAGAACAAAAAAGTCGATAATACTAGCAGTTTAAGCTTCCTGCCTACTCGCCGCTTCTGTCCTCGTTTGGTGACGTCAGAAGCGAGAAATCGCATGCCTTAATTCTTGCGGTTTTACGTTGAAAAAGATATATCTATAAAACGCGCAATTGTAATTGATTTAGGAGCTTTAATCAACATGACTTCATGACAGATTTAAAAAAAATTTGAATTTCTGTAAGTCAAGAACAGTGCGAGAAATTTGGAGCAAAATTAGTCATGCTAAAAAACAAATCTTTTAAAATAAATAGAAAAGATAATGCCATGGACACGTATTGAATAAGATTCCTTCGAAGAAGAGAATACTATTTATATATATATATATATATGAAAATGTTTTAACTCGCAAAATATATTGGTAAGTGTGTGTTTATAAGTACAAATATATATATTCTTAAGTCTTTGTATACTCCGCTGACATTGCAATAAACTTTATATTTTCTACAATTTCCAATTAAATTTATCTCTGTTAAAATATGTTCTAATTATAGGATTTTGAAAATAATAAAAAGCAGAGTGATAAATAAATGAATAATAATTGTTATATTTAAGTGGCTACTATACGTACGGGTAGATGATTGTAGACGAATAAGATTTGCGTTGATTTTCTTCTGCCTTTTCCTTTCGATAAATTTTTCCTGCGGCTTACGCATCCACGCGATACGACGGAGAGAAAGAACAACTCAAATAATCAGTCTATATATTTTTCCCATATTCTCCTTCGTATTTAGTAATTTATTATATCGTTCTTTTATTCCTTTACACAGATGTTTATTTATGATCTCGATGATCGTACGAAACGGTGAACATGTAAACTAGGTATAATTACAAATAATAAAAATAAAAAGCCTCTCACAAGATTTTCGTCCTCCTAAAAACGTTCAGCTATTAAACTTGTTTTTATATATTTATATATAAAATACATAATAGAGGCTCGCACAGGGTCCATTATCATATTTTTTTTTATGTCTATCCTTAAACGGCCGTTTTGTAATATAAGACGAAACCGTTCCTCAGTTGTTTTCTTCACCGAACCAGTTAAATAATTACAAAAATCCGTTTCTTGCAACTTCTATGTCTTGTCACAATCTATTATAATACAAGAATCATTTACTTTGTTTCTCTTAGAGACGCATTAAACTTACAATCTTAAGAAATTTACACAGAGGTTTTAACATCATGAATGAAATACAGGCATTATGTACAAGTATGTATATATCTTCAATATGATCAGCTTACTCTTTCATGCAATGTAGTGGTGTCTCAAACAATTTAATAAATGATAAATGCAATCTACGCCGTTCGCGAAGTAGTGACGTCCGAGAACATAAAATACTTTGTCACTTTAACGCTTTAAACCGTTCGAAATAAAATAAAGATTCATTTTACATAAATTACATAGCCATTAGCCAAATAATGGGGACAAATCCTTTAATCATTTTTATTTGACGTCCGATTCAGAGAAAATTAGTATTTTTAATAGTATCTTCTTTTTTCGCGGACACTCTGTAATATGAAAAGAAATCTACGATCTTCCAGAGCAAACGATGTTAGAGTATTACGTCAAAAGACAACTTTGTCATTATGCGTTGTAATAATATTATATATTGCATTTCACACGATATTACAATAAATTTCGTCTATTGTTGCATAAATTTGTTATAATCATGTTCAACTGAGATGTTCCAAGTACGATACGTTTGCATCAGCCGAGAGCCAACTACGTTCTACCATGAGAATGAAAAAGAAATATACTTCCAATTGCAGTCGCGGAGTATATTAGTAATAAAATTCTCGAGTTAAATATATAAGAATCAAAGGAAAAAAAGAATTCAATATTACAATCGTCATATAAAAATCTAAGATCTTAGGCCATTTAAATCCAGATATAAAGAACGTTGGGAATTTACTTACTCATTCGTAACTCGTTAATTTGTCAATACTGCTGGTTTCGGGATCGCTTTTTGCAAGATATTTCTTTTGATTGGAAGTCACGCTAATGACAAAGTCATTTTCTAAATTTGTCTAACGATATGCCGCATTACTCAGCGAGCGTAAAAAATTGTCCTCTAAGTATCCTGACACATCGCAGAAAGTCGAATGGCTAGGAGTCATCGAGCTAAAACTGATCTAAACTAGACGTCGTTAGATTTATGCAGTGATATGAATGTTCTGCTGTAATGACGAACTCGCTAGCATGCCGATGCATGTACTGTTATATCTTACTAATTTCTGTCGATAGATTAGATTAGTTAATAATAAAACAAAGAGAGACGATAATATATATAGCCATGTAATCGCAATATGCAATTATAAGCAAAACATAAATTCCTAACAAATACATTTCATAAAAAGATTTCGTTTTTGTTTCTTTATCCTAGGTCCTTGGTGATTTACGAAAAAAAACATACAATAATAATTAATATAATAGAATAATACAATATTAATTATAATATATTGATTATAATTAACTATAACGTCCATAAAGTATTTTCTTCGTTCCTTTTTGTACACGTTTACTAAAAACACTTTTTCCACCTTTCTTGTTGAGAAAATAAATATTAATATTAAATCTGAAATATCATCTCTCTCGATCGCTCGTTCGCATTCTTTTTCTCGCTCATTCACTCGCTCTCTATCTCTCTTTTTCGCTCTTTATCACACACGCACGCACACGCACACACTCTCTTTTTTTCTCTTGCAAACTCGTTATCACTTTTCCATATTTGACCTAACTGTCTTTGTATTGTATATTTCACTATAGTTACAGTTCATATCATAATCTAAATTGGCAAAATGATTTGCCTAGTAAGTTTATAGGCCTCTTTTTTTCTATATATGGAACATTTATCCTCGGTACCATTCTTCTCTAATTCCAGTCCTTCAAATTGCATGGGCACACATCACGCACGCACGCACGTACATACATAGGCACGGACGCACGCACGCATGTACAGTCATCCATATGCATGTAATCACTACGGCAAGTGACTATAAACTTATGCACTCGCTTTCTCCCCGTGTAATTCGAAATAATGTAAGTTGATCGCTGCTCGCAAGATTAAAAGAGCTTTTAGAGGCCTGATTCAAGAGGTCACCTATGATGGCTACTGCTACTCTGGTCGTTCATATCATAAAGGACTTGTGCGATTGTTCTCGATGATTCGACATTGCTTAACGCCACGCCTGCCAAGTGGGGCTCGTACGCTCTAAGATGCCTGAAAATAATTCGTGAATGAGCCAAGATTGCGACGCGGCAATTAAATAAAAATGGAATAAAAACGTGGGAGCAGCGTGACTTACCTTCTACCGTGTGTTGAATATATGACTAGGTTTCTAAGAATGAGAGCTGCCGTTAGGCGAATACTTTTGGTCACTGGACCTTCGTTGTCATCCTGCAAGATAAAGACACACTCATTGACAATCGATCGTCCAAGCGCGCTCGTTTTCACACACAAGACAACTGATGACGGACAACAAAATGAAATCACTGATTTTTCAGATGCTAAGAAAAAAAAGGGTCTCGTGAAAAATGCATGGATGTGGTACGTAGTTTCAATAATTGTATGATGTTGTTCTACAAATGTTATGGGAGTCGTGTTAATGTGTAAGAAGCGCTGCAATTTCTCGGCGAAGCTGCAGTTTCGTCTGTCCTGGATAATCGCGCATGTATTCTCGACATGTCACGTTATAGACGGCGACGAATCCATATTCTTGCACCTTAACCACGTTACAACTATACGACAAGGACGCACACATATACACAAACATATATATATTCAAGCCTACGGGCTCTAGCAACATCTACTTAGTAAATGGGAGTCCGGCTTCTCTCCGCTGCTCTGTTGAAACGAGCACTGTGCCAACACCCTCCTAATATGAGCATTGCAAGTTCGACGCATGTAAAAATAAAATTAAAAAAAAATGCTAGCTACGAAATGTAACGTCGAAACAAAAATTAAAAAAGACATGCTATAACAAGACGGAAGGGTAGAACAAATGAGGGGTTCGGGGGAGAATGACATGGTGTGCAAAAAAACAGAGAGAATAAAAAAAGCACAGAGAGACGACAGCAGCGGCAGCGCTACAGGAGCTGTAGCTGCGTCGTGATTTTCCTTTCAATTCTCAATACATTTTTACCTGTTCTGGTGGAGAATTTTGCCCAGGTCTGGGGGAAGAAGAGCTTGAGGTGGCTGCAGCGGGCTTGGTCGGCCTTTGCTGCTTCGCCAAGAGAGAGAACAAGAAATTTCGTTAAAATTAGCCAGTCAAAGATTTGCAGAATCGAAGACTGTCGGGTGATTTTTACGGGAATCGACTTTACATCAACAGAATATCAACATGGCAGGGAGAAAGATTGTAACATGTGTATTTCGAGACGTGTATTACGTGTATCAAGTGTGTTATGAGATTATTAAATTGTATATCTATCTAGTTTGTGTATCTTTATTATCGGTTTGCTATCGCAGGGAGAAAGTTTGCCTTAGTCTAGATTTACGACCGTACGACGCATACAGAATACGTTTTGAACTATGTTCTTTCATTCAAATTCTATGATTTTACCTTTATTTGTAAATACTTGGAAATAAAAGTGAAGATAAAATCGTGTTTTATTAAATTGTAACTATTCTAAAAATATTACTCCTAATGTCTTTCGATTTTATGAGCTTGCCAATCTTTTATCTCTAATTAAGTACATTTGTATTGATTACAAATTATGTCTAGACATTTAAATATGATTTTAACACATTGCACGCTACCTTCCCTGTTTAAAGAGCAAGTGTTTGCGACTTCTTTGCCTTATGGATATTTAATAAAAAAAATCTCTTACTAAACGTTTAATATTTATTTACCTTTAATTTAATAACAAATAATTAAAAGTTTAATGATAAAAATATATTAAAAATATAAAATAAAACAAAGATAATTAATACTTTTGGCATGTAATATTTTTCAAAATCCTTCGATTCTATCAGTATTTGACAATAGGCATACATAATCGACGTACAATGTGTTAATATCAAATGCGTACAGAGAACGAACAGAACAGTAGAATTAACTTCTGTATTCTCGAACAAGTTTTGGAATTACAAAATGACATCTTGAAAACTTACCATTAGCTCCTTAGGATTAACGAATTCCAGAGCATGCCGTTTAATAGCGTGGAATGCCGCGTTGGGTGCATATCCGGGATGATGCGGGGTCGGGGGCGTAGATGTGGAGACTTCGGTTTTACCCGTCGCTGTCAATTGTTTCCTCCTCATCGACATTGTCTACGAAGGTAAAAAGTTGCGAATATAAAACCCACGGTATCGAGCATCTATCCGATAATTTCCCTCAAGATCAATAAAAGCTCAACGAGAGTGAAATGCAAGATTACTTACGTCAGCGTTGCAGTGCCTATCGTAGAGATGCGTCATTAACGAGAACTTGCGTCTCTTGAGAGCATCACAGCTCGCCCACAGACACAGTATTTCCTCGCCACCAGTCGGACAGTGGGCTTCGCAAACGTGAAGATAGACTTCGTGCGGTGTTTTGAATTGTCTAAAATTATTTAAGAGATAGTTTTCGTCAATTCGCAATGTCTCATAAACATAAAATATTTCAATAACTTCCATGAAATCGATTGATAAAATTGTAAATTCCGAAAATTTATCTTTGAACCGTACCTAAGACAGCCCCGCCACTCACACAGGTAAGCGTTAGGATCGATTTTGATCGTGATGGTTTTGCTCTCCTGCAATGGCTGTGGCGTCTGGTGTTGCTGTTGCTGCTGGCTTGTGGAGGGTTTCGACTCCGGCTCGGTGGAGGTTGACGAACTCACCGTTTTCACGATCTTAGTGACGGGTGACGGTTTGATGGCGGACACACCGTGAGTAGCCGCCGCTTGATGCGGAGTTGTGGGCCTAGTCGGCGGCGGCGTGGACGCCGGAGTAGGCGTCACCACCCTGGACGGCACGCTGGTGGATACCGGTGTTTGCTGGGCCATCGCCGGGATCGTGACGGTCACCGTGTTCGAGTTGGTCTGCGCCACCGAGCTGTTGACTATAATGGAGGCCTGCGGAATAGTGGCGGATGTGGGTACGAGGGGCGGCGGGATGTTGCCGAGCGCCGGGCTCTGCAAAATCGGACGAGGAACCTGCGTCACGACCACTTGCTGCCCCTGCGGCGTCACTGCCACCATCTTCTGCGGGGTCGGTTGCGCGGCGGCCTGAGGTTGCAGTATGATAATTGTCTTGGTAGCAGTCCCCTGTTGCTGCGTCGTCTGCGCTACGAGAACGGTTTGCGCTTGTCCCTGTACTAGGGCCGTCTGTGGCTGTGCTAATACGTAGTTCTGACCAGGTACACCGCCCGACACTACGTATTGCAGCTGCCCGCCCGCGCTCTGTTGTAGAAGCACCTGCGGTTGAGGCGGAGGCGGCCTACCCTTCACCGTCGTGGTGGGAATAATTACTTGGTTGCTCGTCGGGATCGCCTGCTGCACGACTATTTGCCTAGGCGTTGTCACTATGAGTTGTTGCTGCTGTTGCTGCGGTTGCGGCTGCGACACCTGATTGATGCTTGCGATCTGATTGATGAATATGTGAGGCTCTTCCTTGATGTGTATAGTCGGTGGTTCTTCTTTCATGATAATTGACGTTGGTTCCGTCTTTACATGAAGAGGAGGAGGAAGGGAAGCTGGAGTCGCCGTTGCCACCGCCACTGTTGCTGTCGCTGCCATTGGTACCGTAGCTGTTGCTGCCATAGCTACTGCCGCCGTCGCTGTCGCTGTCGTCGTAGCCTTCGCCGTCGCTGCCACTGTCATCGGTGCTGTTGCCATCGCTGACGCTTCATCCTTTATCGTATCCTTATTAACGTTCACTTGCTCTTCCAAGTCCATCTCGTCTTCTATGCAGTCCGCTGCCAAAGCGGCATAGAGATTCGCCGCGGTGGAGGAAACAGTCGCTTTCTCGCTGTCCTTGTCGTCGTCCTGCTCCTCGGATTTTATACTCGATACCGTGGATTCCGCCGTGGTCGAGTCGACCGCTGGATCGGGGGACATCGTGCCGTTGGAATACTTCGGCTTCTTAATATCCAGCTCGTCTGATTCGCTGGCCGATCTCTTGATTCCTCGCGGCGCCTCGATCAGGGTATCCTCGGACACTTCGTTCTGTATAACATTGCCGCTCTCTACCTCGGGCTTTATCTTCAGTTCGGTGGGAGATTCTTTTAATACCTTCTTGATGTGATTCTCCACCAGATCCATCTCTTTCTCGTTAATAGAGTTCTTACTGAGCACGCCGTTCAAAATCGGCTCCTTATCGACCTTTCTCTCGAGCAGGTCCACCAGCATCATGCTCTGTAGCGGCTTGTCTTTCGAACCCACGCTCGACGAGTCCTTGGACGAGCCGTCCTCCTGCGCGTCGATGTCCGTGTTGTTGCTCGCCGGCGCGCCATTAAGTAGGATACCTTCGAAACTCGTCGGCATGTTCTCCTCCTCGACCCTGAAGGAACAGTCCCTGCTACCGCCGATACCGCTGCTGGACGCCAAAGAGTTGTTGGTGGAATCCGAATCCTCGCCGATGGAAGTGCACGTCATGCGTTGATTTGTCTTGTTCGGTGTAGCAGTGGCGACATTGACCGTTGTTGTCAAGGGCGGACGACAGACCTTCGCCGGTGAGGAAGATATGTGATTTTCAGTCGAGTTCACCACCGTGGTCGTGGACGTGATAATTTGGTTAGCATTGTCGTTATCGTTTACTTCAGTCTGAAACATACGAGATGCTCGATATACAACAAGGTATCATACATGCAAAGCCTCGCCAAGTTGCGAACTTGTAAAAGCGACGTACCTTCTCGCAGTTATTAGTCACAATAAACTTGGCCCCGTTGAGCCTTTGTATCTTTTTGGCAGGAATGGGTGTGATTGCCGGTTTCTGCTTAGCGTTGACGGGAGTCTTTGGAAGTATCGTGGCCGGGGTGGCCGCGGGTGCAGCGGGCTGCATCACACCCGTCATCTGTTGCTGCAGTAACCTCTGTTGTTGTTGACGTTGGGCAACCTAGCGAATGTTCGTGATAATATTAACCGGGGAAACATAAATCAATACTTCCAAGTTTTTCCCCGCAATCGTATCACTTCTCGCGCGCTCATCGATTTTATTATACTTGTAACGGAATAAATGTCAAAAGAACAATCGAATTCATCAATCGAAAACCATGCTGTTGTTAGTACTTGATGTTACGAGTACTCTCATTTAAACTTCAAAATAACACTGTTAAATATCGCTAATATCTCCTTCATATCGTAATAGATTCGCCAAGAAGGGAGGGAGAGAGGATATTCTCTGGTTTGAATTCATATTTTAAAAGAACAAGGAAGTACATAACAAAGTCTGATTACATCAACCAACACTACATCATAAGCAGACATTTTGACAAGTAGTAGTAAAAAAAAAAAAACATAAATGCATATATTTATTATACTTCTGCATAGATAGCATACCGTGATAATTTACTAAAAAAATTTACTAAAAAATAGAAACAAAGTATCTCGGTGAGAGATTCTGTAATATTCCTATAATAGATAATAAATAAAGTTGCTAAAAAGTTGAAATTTATCTTAAGTCTAACAAGATAATTGTAATTTACGCACGCATGTGATTAACTCAAATTACGCTGTCTACCACATATGTGATTAACTTTCTCATTACATATTCATATAACGTCATTAAAACGTCAAGAAAACAAGATTCTCGAAATTTTGATTTGGTACTTTCTGAACGAAAAGAGAAGAACCCAAAAAGAAAAAAAACTATACTTGTTAATATACAACAATGATACCTGGTTGCTGGTTATTAGCTGGTTGGCACTGATGCTGGATGCGATGCTAGCAGTAGTGTTTGTTACGCAGGCAGTAGGGGTAGACACACAAGTCGCAGCAGCACTGGGCATGCAGTCGCTGCTGACTGTTACCTTAGTAGCCAATAGGCTTTTTATTATGGAACTCGACGTAGTGCCACTTCGATTGTCTTCCTTAGCAACTACCTGGAGACATTGTAACTGTTGCTGCGGCTGCGGCTGCTGCTGTTGCTGCTGCGGCGTTTGGGAGCCGCTCGCTAGCAACGCTTGGCTCAGATGCGGATGCGACACTGATACCTAATCGACAAGGAGGCAACATACAAATTTCAACCACCACAGCGAATCATAGCTTCGGAAAGTATAGTTTAAGCGTTTACGTGAACACATGCTGCGATATATCTCGTATATTATAGCGTGGCTATTGTTTACGTAGTCGGAAGAAGCGTTTTGACAAGCGTAAATCACAGACAATACATGGATTCCTTGGAAATAATTCTGGCCGATATCTTTCCAAGACCGCAGCGATGATTGCGAATAGAAAGTATAAAGTATTTCATCCTACGTAAAATTTTTATATAATAGTAGATTCAGCAAATAATCTGAGATCTTTCGCAAAGAAAAAAAAACTGAAATGAATGTTGCTCTTACAGTTACTCTACTTATCTATACGTCTACGGTACTCGGCGATCACAGAGCCAAGTCGAGGATTCACGAGGCATGCAAAGGGAACTCTCTCACCCGTATGTTACAAGGAAGTAGCTCTAGCTCGTGTTAAAAGGGGAAAAACCAATAGTAAGAATAGCGTTATGAAGTTACAACACAACGTGAAAGTGAGAACCAAGGTCATAAACGAGAATGGCATAGAGAATGGTATAGAGAGAGAGTTAGGATTCGGACCCACCTGACTTTTAGAATCAACCTTGGTCACTGGATTTTGGGACTGGCTCGAGGTGTTGTTGGACGGGGGTTTCGGCGGTGCGGACAATTGGGCCTTGAGGATGGGAGACGCGGGGGTGGAGGTCGTTTGCGTCCCGGACGACGCGGCGGGACTATCGACCTGAGGAGCGGCCGTGCTATCGGGTGCGGGACTTATATTCTTGACTGTACGCTGTTGAACGGGAAGCACCTTTACTGGAGTAGTGTTGACCGCCGGAATCGGGAGTGTATTAGTCGCGACAGCAGCGGTAGTTTGGCTCGGATAAGTGATCGGCGCGGGTGTGGCCCGTACACGGATGCCTTCGTAATACTGGGTGCCGGTATTTTCGCCCTTCAATGGATTCGGCCCCACGATATTGCCGAAAACGGATCTGCGCAAACAGTGTAAAGCGTGTATTAAAAACATACGTATATTACGTGACACAACAAATATCGCGGCGATGATTTATGTCTCTCATGAGATAATCACCTGACGCATCTGGGAAAATGCAGTGGTGCTATCACGCCTCGTCTACCGATTTTCGTGCAGCAACCGAGGTACTTTTTATACAACTCCTCCTGTTCGATGCGTATACCGGGTGCGAGTTCAAACGTCGCTTTTACCCAACCTAGAGCGAACTGTTCATTCTCTTGAATGATTTGCTGATGCGCGGTTTGTTGTTGGATCGCATTAGCTGTCTCCACCGCTTCTACGTAAACAAGAAACAAAAATGCTGGTGAATAAAAGAACTATCTGCAATTCCTAACAAAAGGCGAAGAAAGATTTCGATCACGTACTGTGCGTTGTCGACTTGGTCGAGGTCGCGGCGGGAGTCGTCGGTCGAGAAGATGCTGGACTGGCAGGTGCCGGGGTTGCAGTGATCGTAGCCGGCGTAGACGGAGTGGACGCGGACGCAGTCGTTGTGGCTGGTGTGGTAGGGGTGACGGGGACAGCGGTTTGCCCGGTGGTGTTCTGCTGCGCCGCTGCTGTGGACACCGTCTCGACCACTCGCATGAGAATACAAGCCTTCGGGCCGTAACTCTGCGCCTCCACGGTGACGAGGGCGACCAGCGTGTCAATGGCACCGCGTACCCGCGCGACGCTCGTGCATGGTCTCTCACCCAGTGACGTTAAAGCGTACAGACATTCCAGAGTATACACTAAGAGGGCTACGTCACTCATAGCCAGAAATCTACAAGCAAACACGAAAAAGTCTCGCGTTACAACGACGCAATGCATTGAAAATACTCGTGATTATGTAAGTTTTCATGAAATTATTAAATATTATAATTATTTGTGCGACAGTTTTCTTGTTTCAAATTAAAACACAAAACTTTAGATACAAAACTTTGTTTTTAATGATATATCTTTTATACATATGATTCGAGTGACTTTATATGAAAAACTGTCGCAAGACGTTTACCCAAATATTAAGTACAATACTTTTCATTTGACTACTATATTTTACATTTTTCAATTAACGGGAATTTGTACAGTTAATCAGTTTCTGTCAAGCAACAGCCAAAACGAAGAGACATATTTATATACACACTTACCTGCAGATGAGTTCATAAACATTATCTGCCAGACCAAACGTAACAATTTCTTCGTTACTGTCTTGCTGGCTGATCTTGTTGAGCACCTCCAGGCAGGATATAACGATAAACCTGTCCTGGGACTCGATTCCCTTGGCCACGCACGTTAAGACGACGTCTGTTATCCTCTCCCCGGCCTCCTTTAAAATAACTTCGTTCGCAATGTTCCCTAGTATGTCGAAGCCGAGCTGATGCAGATTGCTCCACCTCGCTCTCACGCACAGCAGCACGAATCGCAGGAAACACCGGTTCCTGCCTAATATCGTCGCGTTCTCCGGCGTGAAGCTGAGGTTTCGTAGAATCGACGCGATTTGCAGCACGCGTTGCCCATACGGATCCTGCGTGCCTAACGTTCGACCGACGCAAAACAGATCCTTGTCCTCCTCCTCGAATTTGATGGAATTCTGGTTCTGGTCTTTCAAGTTCTCGTCCGAGTGCAAGACAAGCGAATCTAGCCGTGGGCAATCTGGAGGTACCTGTAATTCATACGACGAACGGTGTTCAGAGACTTCGAAAACCAGAAAAAGAGATCGATGAAGTTTCTTAGAGAGTTTATATATGTAAATATATGTATATTTTCTCACCACTTCGACGTCAATCGGCGGCATCGGTTCCTCGTTCTCCGTCGTCAACGCAGCAACGTCCTGCTTGCTCTGCTTCTCCTTCTCGAGAGTCTTCCGTCTAGAGAAGGTCGGCAGACTGCTGGGTGGCTTTTTCATGAAGGTCCTCTCGTTCGTGAGGTCTATCACATCCTGGGAATCGAGCACGTCCGACCAGAAGGAATTAATAGAGTAGTTACGAACACGTGAGTACACCTCGATGAAGAGTTGTCGCGTGCCAGGCGAGTCGAAAACGCCGGCGTGCGCCAGGAGGATGTTCACCAGACGGGGATACTTGTCGAGCCGCAGGGTGTGCTTGCCCTCGTTCGACAGGAGGGTGCAGACATTGATGGCGAAGTCCTGCTCGTTCGGCAGCGGCGACAGGAGCGACAGCGCGAGCTTGTCATAATTCGAGGACTTGTAAAGATCCGCCGAGAGTCCGTTGTAATCGCGCAGAGATTCTGAAAGCAAAGGTGAAAAAATGGACTTAGTATTCTATGCAGAAGAATTAATTTTATCGTAACTAATGACTCTACTTATTCGCGCGCCGTTTATAAAGCCAATCACTCCCCGAGAGACAAATTCTACGTGGGAGAGAAAGAGAGGAATACACTTTTCTTAAGTAACTTTGTAAGTTCAATTTTCCTCTAATTCTATAAAAGTTCTCTGAAAATTCTTATAAAGAGATTTCTTAAATAAAAACGTGTTCGATGCCTTAGAAAATTACGTGTGTAAACATAATATCGCAGTAAAACTTATAGACAATTAAAAGTATCAGCTGGTTGTGATTATGACAATTACGCCAACGATCTTCGGAACGTAAGAAAAAAATTAGGATATTCCGTGATGCGTCACATTACGTTAGCTGGTTTTTCCTATGATCACTGTAATGTAATATTAGTGGATATCGTAGGATTATCTTGGAGAGTAGATGCGAAGGTCGTGCAAACGTTTATCCACGTCGTGTTCACGTCAAAATCTGCCGACGGTTTTCAAGCGTGCACCGTACAATACATTTGCCGCGACCGTTCAATTAAAATAATTGAAATACACAGTTATTATTCCGCTGACTAATTAAAATAATTAAAATCCGCTGCGTTTTTCAGAATGCACGTTTTGTCTCTCGCGGAGTCACGTGCGATTCGAATATATGCTTCATATACATATTCGTTTAAATACCTTCCGGCAACTGCATTGCAAACGTACATATCTGACGGGAAATATTGTAAAAAATATGTAAAGCAAGATATAACATACAATATTAAAAGAAATAAAACTGCCTTTTCTTGTAAAAAGACGTCGATCTTTTTCAACGTAAAACGTAACTTTTGCAAGATTTGCTTTATTCCTCATATAGTTAACACATGTGAATTGACACAACTATTTTTGTAGAAAAAAATTTGCAGCAAAAAAAGTAAAAAGGAATGAAAGTGACAAGGCAGTTCCGCGCTTTCAATATTGAGCGGATTTGCTCGACGCCTTGGGTTGTTCTTTCCTTCCCTTTTTTTCCCCTCGAAACTAACGAAACCAGTTAATGACTCGGTCGTATCTTATCGGCGAGTCGTTACGTTGGGACGCGGGTTTTTTTGCGGGTGTTTCTGTTCCAAGCGCGGCGATTAAAATATCCGTTTCCCCGCGGGCACGGCGTTTCGCCGTTGCGCGAACGGGCGCGTATATCTCTCTGGCAATCGTCGTTGTCGGAATTGTCACGCGGCCAATCCGATCCTGTCGCGCTTGACGATGGCTCATTGAGGCAGGTCATGGCTGGTTGATGCAACAAGAAAGCGGAGCTATGCATCGCGATACCGACGATCACGCATCGGATAACGTTCCGAGCCGTATACGACAAGTAAGCCCCTCCCTTCCTCCCGTCTCTGTGAAATCTCGGCGCTTTTTCGAATTTCAGAATTATAATTGGCAGAATTCTGGCTACTTTCCCAAAAGAGTTTCCCGAAAGTTTCCGATATATATATAGGTTTCAAAGAGAGCGATTGAAAGCGTTAGGAAATAAGGATCCAAAGAGATGCGGAGTGCCTCCTTCACGTTTCCGTTGTACAGAAATTACTCGTAACTCATTTATTTCCATTAGGATCGATTTGAACCACGATACTTGTCGATCCTTTGAGATGCTGCTGCCCAGGACTCTCAAAGGGACGCCGGATTTTTAAAAATAAACTTGTAGCACAATTCAAGTATATAGAACTCTTTGTAGAACTCTTTGTGGGGAAGAGTCAGAACATGAAATTAAAATGTAGAAAATAGGTTGTTAACTTTAGAAATATATCTCTTTCCATTCGCGTTGTTTTATTATCTAGAAAGAGAGATTGTAAGTAATGTTCGAACGAGTAGAATTGTTGGTCCGAATAAAATCAATTTTTCGTTATTAATCCCTCGAATTTTACATATTTTTAAATATATAAATGTATATGATAAAAAATATATATGATATAAATATCTGCTAAAATATGATTAAAAAATATATAGAATAATAATTAAAGGCGGAAGGCCGGGTCGATAGGGATTGATTTATCGGCCATCGTCGGGGTGTGCGAAACGCTTATCTGAGAAACGGCGATATCTCCGAGCCGCGATATCGGGAATAGACAACTGATCCAGCGTCCGATTTCCATATAGCGGCTGGTTTATTCCGCCCGATGACGATCGTCTCGTCATTTTATTACCGCCGGACACGATCGCCGGCTTTAACGACGAGTAGCCGAGGACCGATGTTGAGAAAGATAGAAATCACTCATCTATTAAACGTTTCATGTTGCACGTCACGGACAATTATAACCGTGCGCACCGATAAGGTGATCGACTCCATTCCTGATGCACCACAAGTAGGTTGTGCTCTCGGTCAAGGCTAACTTTCTACGAATGGCCGATACGTCCCACCACCAGCGCGGGACATGTGCTCGCTGGTGAAACATCGTGAAACTATTCCGATGCCCAATTCTGATTTTCTTCAGGGAATTACGGGAATTTCTATAACGAGCGCAAGAACGACGCTCCACATAATTCATCGTTGAAGTGCGCGCGCGAAATTTTCCGCCTGCAAACTTCTTCGTAACTGTCTGACCGTCGAAAATAGAAGGCCAGGAATAAACGACAACCGCTCGTGTTTGTTCGTCACACGATTTACACGGCCTCCCTTATCTTAGATAATTCTTTTTAGGATTTTGGGATCAGGGATAAATCGTCTGTTAAATTTATATATTTATCTATTAACTTTTTGACGCTGATGAGATAAAAATATTCCCTTTAAGAATCGCGTCTCTTTGAAAAACACGAAAATATGCGGAGCAAATATTTATGAGCGACAGAGTATCTCTACCTTCTACCTTTTGAAAACAGAAGCTCGCACGATCGGGCACGACAATCGATTTTTTTTTTTTTTTGAGATGTTAATTACCCGCGCCCGTATAATGACTCGGGAAGCGAATTAGTTTCCTTCGCCCGGGCGGAACTTCAGCGAGGAGCAACGAGAATTCCGAACGCGAGCGGAATATATACGGGTTGTGTGTATGTACACGGCGCAACGTTATCGCGGATCGCAGTAATCTTTTCAGCCGCAAAACCGCGATCAATATCGCGTCCCAGGAGAAGTGTCGAGTTTCGCCGGAAACGGGGAGGGACACACACAAACCGGGAACCGGCAAGCACGATGGCAGGACGATGAAAGGAGGAGAAACACGGAAAGGGGGAGGGGGGGCGAGGGCAGAGAAAGGAGAGGACGTTTCCAAAGGAGCCAGGGGCTCGTTAATAAAATCATGGCTCGTCAACGATGCTGCGAAGTGGCGAGTATCGATTTCAAGTTGAACACCTTGTTTCCGTGGCGTAATAAAGGGAGTGTTGTGCTTTTACGTAAGCGCGAGAAACAAAAGAGACAGCCTCATCGCATGAAAACGCATTATTTTTCTCTTCCCACCCTCGTGCCTCCGGCGTATTCTATAATAATAATTTATAAATATTTTATACGGTGATTTTCTCACCGTTGTACATATAACCGTTGGATAAAAGTCTCTTTTCCAGCTTGTAAATTATACCACCACCTCAGGCGTAAACATTTTCCGAGTTGCTGCTATTTTTTGCCGTCAATGTATCTATGTAGATAGGAATTTATTCGAGCAATACGTGCTTCGGACATCAGTCGGTTTTATATTAAAAATGAACCGACGTCTCTCTCTCTCTCTCTCTCTCTT